TAATGTCTTTTTTGATTTTTTTTTTTTGAGAGAGAAACATCGAAGTGAGAGAGAAAGATTGATTGGCTGCTTCCTGCACACTCCCTAGTGGGGATCGAGCCCACAACCCTAGGCATGTGCCCTGACGGAATCAAACTGGGACCTCTCAGTCCATGGGACGATGCTCAACCCACTGAACCATACCAGCCAGGCTAAAAAGAAAAAATTTTAAAGGCCTTTTCACACTTTTGCATTCATCCCTGTACTAAGGCAAGCTGTCCCATGGGTTTGTGTATGCTTTCAAAATAGATTTTCCTTGATAGGTCTTTCACCCACCCTTATCCCCACATAGAGAACCTAAGGTCATAGACTCCCTGAAACCCTCCTGTTTTCCTTCTGATCCCTTGTATCTCAAATGCATACTGGCATAGTAATATTGTTTCATTCAGTGGTATCATCTCACCACTGTTACTCTAAATTACCCTCTAGTCATGCAGAGTGAAGAGCACTGGACAGGGATTCAAAGGGCCTCTTCCCATTGGTTTGTGGGATGACCTTGAGGGAGTCCCTGACATATGTCTGCTTCCTTATCTCTAACAGAAGCGTTTGAATGATAAGATCTCCAGAGCTTTTCCTGGCTCTGAAATTCATTGATTCTGGGAACTATAGTTTGCCAGGGAGTGAAGTTTCTATAATTTTTTTAGCCAAAACAATAATAATGACTTCCTTTTGGCTTTGAGAATCAAAGAATACTCTTGGTACACTTCCAGTGTTGCAACCCTGGGAGCAGGTAACAGCAGGATGGAGACCTGGGTGGTGCTTCCACCTACTGGACAGAAGCTGAATGACTTAAGAGTATTTACACGACCCTCCCCCTTCCCAAGTCTCACTGTGAAGAGTGTTTATATAAATTAGACTTCATTTGGCTTAGAGGGACCTTGAGCAGTCTTTGCATCTTTCTTTTGGCCACTGGTTAGGATGGTACCCAAGGTCCTCAAACTGAGTAAGAGGGTGGGGTGGACATATTTCCCAGGGTGCTTGTTCAGATAGACACATTGTTCTTCCTACTGAGGGACTATCGTATTCTCTGGAGACGTTAGATTTCACAACTGGCCTCCATAATTTCTTCTTATATTTCTCAACCTTAAGACAAAATTTCCAATATTTACATATTTTTCAGTGCTCACAATTTTAGAGAATTCTTGGATGTAAAAAAACAAAAAACCCCGTATCTTCCTGTGTTATTATTGTTACCACCCCCCCTTTCTGTGTCTTGGAATAGTAACCCTTTCTCCAAATGTGATATTCCTTTTCCTTGATGCTCTTTAGTTCTTTAGAGTTCAAAGCTTAAAGGTAACGCACCGGGATATGCCACAAGTGTGACAGTCTAAGGATCAAAGGAGAGATGGGGATGCGACTATGGGACTAATGTATCTACTATTCTATTTGGCTGTAGGAATCTGCCCCTCTCCATTGGCATTTCCATGCCCATTGTCACCATCATCTACATCTTGACCAACGTGGCCTATTACACCGTGCTAGACATGAGGGACATCCTGGCCAGTGATGCTGTTGCCGTGGTAAATGATTTTCACTAGCAGGAGGCTGAGAGTATTTGGGCTTCTAGGGATAGTGCAGTTCTTGAAAGCCCCAGAAAAGGGATAATCCTTGAAAGAATACTGGGATACTGGGCTTGCAAGGACGTACTGTTACCCCTGTTGTGGGTTAGGTTCCAAGTAGTGGGAATCTAGGGAAATGTCTGTCCATACCTTTCATCCCTAATGACTCTTTTCCTTAGACTTTTGCAGACCAGATTTTTGGAATATTCAACTGGACAATTCCACTGGCAGTTGCATTATCCTGCTTTGGTGGTCTCAATGCCTCCATTGTGGCTGCTTCTAGGTATGAGTGCTATCTTTTAGTGGAGGGTATTTTGAAAACTGTGGCGGGGGTGGGGAGGTAAGACTTATGGATCCAGACTTTAGTCACTGTGCTTCCCAAATGACATTCATAATCTCTTTGCTCTTGTTTCCATTAGCAGTCTGTAGTTTTACCAATCTCTATGCCAAACTCCATTCCATATTACCCAACTTCTTTTGAAGGGAATGGCAGAGAAGGACTGTGGCACATGAACCATGCCACACCCAGTATCCAAGTTTCTCAGCCTCTCCCATCTCACCCAAAATAGGCTTTTCTTTGTGGGCTCAAGAGAAGGACATCTCCCTGATGCCATCTGCATGATTCATGTCAAGCGGTTCACCCCAGTGCCTGCTCTACTCTTCAATGTAAGTGATCCCAAGGATGAGGCTGAAAGCCAGATTGTAGGGGAAACTTGAGTAACACTAGATGCAACTGTGCTAGCTTCCTGAAAGCTCTAAAGGAAATAATAACAGAAAAAATACTGATGAAACATCCACTGTGGGCAAGACACTCTCCTAACCATGGTTCCTAAGAGAGAATCTATTATGTCTAAGGGATGGTAACCTATCTTGCCTCAGGATAAGGCTTGAAGCACATGGGGTACAGTGTTATGACTGCCATGATAGTGGGTGATGTGTTGAAGGGAAGCAAGTAATCAATCCATGGGGGTAGAGGGTGAATGAGGAGAGACTTCTTTGACTAAGTGCATTTAAAGTAGATTTTAAGGTTAGGGTTGCAAATGGTAGCAGAGATGGGCTTTAGGAGAAATAGCATCAGAAAGTTCCAAGGTGGAGCAATGTGGAGTTGGGTAGTAGGTGCTAAGCTGGAAATGCAGGTGGGAACCATTATGGGGAGGCTCTTAGGTGAAAGAGTTTTGAGAAATTTTGAGCTGCGCTTTATAGGGGGGGTAACTTGGCAAAGGCTTGGAGAATGGGCTGAAAAACCACATGAGGCTATTGATCTAACAGAAAAGGAATGAGGTATTGAAACTCAGGGGCTAAGAGGGTGGGAACAGAAAAGGACTGATGGGGAGACTTTGAGGACTTTGACAATGAGATGGATTTGGTAAAGGGGAGTGAAAAATGCCTTGAGTAACAAAGGCTCTGAGGAACTGGTTGTACTTACAGGGTATCATGGCACTGATCTACTTGTGTGTGGAGGACATCTTCCAGCTCATTAACTACTACAGCTTCAGCTACTGGTTCTTTGTGGGGCTCTCAATTGTGGGTCAGCTTTATCTGCGCTGGAAGGAACCTGATCGACCTCGTTCCCTCAAGGTAACTCACCTCGATCCTACCTCTGCTCCATCTGCTCTGAGAATTCTTACAAGATGTTTTAAACCTGTGCCTAGGAATTGCTGGTGGCAGTGTGCTGAAATGAAGGGGAGGGAAAGGCAGCTCAGTGCTCTGATCTTCACAAAATGGGGTTATTTTGGCTGTCAGTCCTGACTTGCTAACTTCCAGTTGTTTCTTCTGTGCCCTTAGCTCAGCCTTTTCTTCCCCATTGTCTTCTGCTGCTGTACCATCTTCCTGGTGGTTATTCCACTTTACAGTGATACCATCAACTCCCTCATTGGCATTGGCATTGCCCTCTCAGGCTTGCCCTTCTACTTCTTCATCATCAGAGTGCCAGAACACAAACGACCTCATTGCCTTCGGAGGATTGTGGGTAAGACTTGGATCCTCAGGTTGGCTTGGCTAATGCACAACTTAAGTTTTTTTTGCCTTTTCTGCAAATCCTGTCCCAAGTCACCTTTGCAATAGCCCCTCCCTGTTAACCCTAAGGCTAAACTGAACTGACTTCTCAGGCCCAACCCTACTCAGTGCCCCTGGAACTCAGCTCATCTGAGTTTTGATTCAAACTTCTCTTTGTAGCATCTGCCACATGGTACCTCCAGGTCCTATGTATGTCAGTTGCTGCAGAGATGGATTTGGAAGATGAAGAGATGCCCAAGAAGCAAGACCCCAAGTCTAACTAAATAATACCTGGAATCCTGAGATATGAAAAGCAGAACCTCTTGTTTTCTACTGGTTGGATCCAAGGAAGTTGAAAAGGAAAGCTTACTTCTTTGGAGGCACCTGTCTAGAAGCCTGGTCTAGGCAGCTTCAACAACTTTTAAACTTGCTTTTTGAGAGATGGACAGTAACTTATTTGTTTTGCTACACATTGTTCCAGATTTTTAAAAAGGGATGATAAAGCAGACTGTGGTGGGAGCACGTCAGGTGTGGGCTTGTTCTAATAGCACATACCCATGTGTTAAGATATTCATTCACCTTTGGGTGTGCCTACCTACACCTCTTTTCCTTTAAAAGGGCCAAAAATGCTCCAAACTTCCTGTCTCCTTTAGAGAGACATGAAACTATATAGGTGCTGGACAATAAAAGGGTTATGTTCCTAAGCTTTGAGTGGCTTTTTTTTTTAAATCCTCACCTGAGGATATTTTTCCATTTATCTTCACATAGAATGGAAGGGAAAAAGGGAGGAAGAGAGAAACATCAATGTGTGAGAGACACATGGATTGGTTGCCTCCCACATGGGGATGAACCGCAACCGAGGTATGTGCCCTTGACCAGAATCGAACCCGGGACTCTTTGGTCTGTGGGCCGACATTCTAACCACTGAGACAAGCCGGCCAAGGCTGAGTGGCTTCTTTATATATAATGTCTCTGAGGCAGTTCCTATTATCCTGGCAGGAAGACTAAAACCAATTTAATGCTTGAAAGCACCTGAGTATTTCTTTCCTCTCAAGCCTGTTGCTGAAGGCTGACACAACCAATCTCTATACCTAAGCTGCTGCAGCAAAATGTTAGGGTTGTTAGATAAAAACTACATTGACTTCCATTCTTCTTAATCACCACTAAGAATGTGAGCAAATCTACTTCTTGGAGGATTATTTTATAGGTAATCTTCGGGTATATAAATATGATTACTCTAGATATAATCTCAACCTACCAGGCATACCTCTATGACCACAATGCAAATGTGGCTACACATCTACGAGGTGGGAGGGGGGTGGGGTCTAAGCTCTCAACGCCAGGTTGCCACACTGAGACGTTTCCTAAGAGCAAAGGCCAGCCAGAGCAATCACCACCAACCTGTTCTTTAGTTTTCTGAAGCACACAATCCATCTCCCCATTTAATAAGTATCAAGAAGCAACATATAGTACAGAGGTTTACTGATTCTGTGCATGGGAAGCTCACTTTGCTCCCCAGTATTCTTTTATACTTAGATGTAAGAGTTTATAGTGTAATCCACTTTTAAAACGAACACCTCCATGTCCCACAGTTTCTAGGTCTGGGGCAAGTATCCAGCATCAAGTCTTGTTCCAAGGCCGAGTCTTTGGAGAAACAAGAATTAACGTCAGTATGAGCAGGGAACAGAATTCAGCCAAGTGTGTCACGCCAGGGTTGCTTTGACTTTGGTTTGTCGCAGCTGCTGTTAGGGGTGCTGGGAGGGGGATTTTTCCCATGCTGTAGCAGTGGGTTGTGGGTAAAGGTCTGTCGTAAAGGACCTGGAAGAAGAAAAACGCAGTGAATAAAGGAAAGGGAGATCCAATGACAAATTTTAGCCTGAAAGGGTTATTTACCTCTGGCTGCTAGGTCCAAGTGATTCTGCATGCGCCGTTCACGCTCTTGTATCCGATGGTTGATTTCAGCGCTCTTCCAGCCTATATTAAGAAAAGTTAAGACAGTTGGTCTCATACCCATTTTTAGACCACTTGCCTCTGGTCCTGATTCAGAGGACAGGCCCTTACCTCTTTTGAAGCTCTCTATGAAGCCTTCCCGTGGAGGTAATTTGCTGGGGTCATGCACAACACGCTGGGGGATTTTAAGAACAGAGCGTACAGCTGGAATCCGGAGGCAAGCCACTTGGCCCAGGGAAAACATATTTGAGGAGAACCAATAGATGAACACTGCCTGGACAAGAAGGAAGAGAAGGTACTCAAAAGCTGCATCCCTGGTCAGCCTGCTAGGGGGTGGCTAGGCTAGGTGGAAGGACTTGAAGCCAGCCCCTAAGTCATTACCTACCGAGGGGAAATGGATAGTTATGGGCAAGACTGCCAGGGGCATCACTCTCAGAACATTTCTCATCCACTGAAGGTCAGAACTTTGTACACCAGTCTCAGCACCTAGCTGCCAAAAAAAAAAAAAAAAAAAGCAGAGGAAGAGCAGCAATTTTAGTGACTATGGCTCAAATTTCTTACCCATCAACTCTATTCCTCCAGGGAGTGAAGAATAACTATTTTGCACAACTACTTTACCCCTAATCCCAGTTCACTTTGCAGGCCTGGCACTTGGCCAACCTGCACTTACCTCAAGGACACCCCACATTGTAGCAGTGACTACCAGTGGTAACATGTAGGTGGGGTCAGATAGTGTGAGATCCTGGAACCACCACAGGCCACCTGTCTGTAGGCTGGGCACAGGAAGGTTGGCCATTTCTCTCAAGGCAATGAAGAAGGAGATGAAGATCGGTGCCTATTACACAGGACAGTGTCAGTACCCTTTATCAGACGACACATTTCATTACTGCATTATTGAAAACCATGTATAATATCACCACCACCTGCTCTTTGGGTGTCTAGGGCATGGGACACAGGAGGTAACTGGATTGGTTCAAGATAAAATAAGAAGTGAAATGTATTTGCTTACCTGAGTCAGAGGTAGAATGAGAGGTTTAAAGAGTTTAATATCATGCTTTTTCTGATACAACGTCATCTCCGAGGAGGCCCTGTAAACTTTGAAGTGAGGGGAAGTTAGTGGTTGGGCACACAGTTACATCCTCATCTTCTGGTCTACAACATTTCTTTTCTTTTTTAAATCCTCACCTGAGGATATTTTTCCATTTATCTTCAGATTGGTGGGGGGGGTATCGATGTGAGAAAGACACATTGATTGGTTGCCTCCTGCAAAATCCCAACCAGGGCCGGGGACCAAATCGCAACCGAGGTATGTGTCTTTGACTGCACTCAAACCTGCGACTCTTTGGTCCATGGACCAATGCTCTAAACACTGAGCCAAACCAGCCAGGGTGGTCCATGACATTTCCAACTGACCCTGGCCTGTAACTGAAACCATTAGGCCCAAGAAGCAGGTAAATTTTTAGAACAGTGATTCTCAACCTGGGGGCAAACGACCCTTTCACAGGGGTTGCCTAAGACATAACAGTAGCACAATTACAGTTGTGAAATAGCAATGAAAATAATTTTATGGTTGGGGGTCACCACAACATGAGGAACTGTATTAAAGGCTCGCAGCTTTAGGAAGGTTGAGAACCACTGCTTTAGAACGTGCCCAACTGTAGCAGCTCCTGACTAAGGTTGTTCCTCTCCCTCAGCAGAATGTCAGGAAAAGTGTAAATGTGGTCCTCTCCCACGCTCGTTCTGCAATTGACTCACACTCAGCATTGTCTCCTGCCAACTTGGCCTCTCTGATTCGAGTGGAAAACTTCTGGATCTCTGGCAAGTGGTTGTGGATCTTGGCTGCCTCTCGTTGGCCCTTCACAATGAGAGGAAACACCAGGCAGCGGGCAAGGACGGTACCTGGAAAATACACACTAGGATTGGAGTAAATTTAAAGCAATTCTACAGCTAGAAGGTTGAAGACTTTTAGGTTCTCACTGAAAAGGTCTCTCTTATTCTAGTCTTTTCTATACTGTGACTCATACCCAAGGGGCCCAAAACAAAGGGTAGCGGTATGAGTTAGTTCCTTTAAGGGTCAGTCAGTCCTCTGCTTTGACGTCACGAATCTAGCTTTAACTTCTCTAAGTAAATGATCAGGAGTCTTGTTTGTTTCCTTGAACAAAAGGTGATAGAAGGTACTTTTCTAGATCAGTGGTTTCTAAACTTTTCTATTATCAATGGAATATCTTCCCCTCTCACCACAACTCTTAGTCCCAATATACATAACAGGTAAAATCAAGCTGCCCTAGGTGAGGGAATAGTCTGGCTATAGGACTGTTTAAGCTTTAGCCTTTGCTTTGCTCAGAGGTACCTTTATAGAACTCTGGGGTTCCCAGGAATAAAGTTTGAAAGCCACTGTCCTAGAAACCTCTGGAGCAGGAGGTAATATGGTGGCCTACCACTTAAGCTCCTTCCTACCTCTTTTTTTACACTTCATGCCAACAAATATTTACTTATAGTATCTATAGACAAGCAAGTGGTCTGGGCTACAAAGAGACGGGGGGTTGAGGAGATATAGGTTTAGGCTGTACCAACATTATGATGGATGAGGTGCAACGGAAAGAGGAGAGCTGAAGATGGAACCCAGAATAATATCTTATTAGTACTCTGGGATAGGTAGTGTATTGGGCAATGGAGATGGGAAGGTATGGTCAGAAAGACAGGAAGAAAATCAGATAAGATTGTCACAAAAGCCAAGGGATATATTATAGTCTTAAGTGTCTAACGTAGAAAGGTCAACTATAAAAAGAAAAGTGGATTTAGCAATGATGTAACTGGCAGTTACAATGAAGTGCTATTAGCAAAAGTCAGATTGTTGAGAGTCAAAGAGTGGAAAGAAAGAAGTATGCCCCTGAACATAGAATACTCTTTTCAATAACAGCTATAAAAGACCAAAAAAAAAAAAAAAAAAAAGACAGAATAAAGGTAAACTAAGGATAAAGGGAAAATATTTTTTTCCAAGAAACACATGGTGTATTTGAGCATGCTTATATGTTCAGAGTAGGGTAGTAAAAAGGGAGAAGTTGAAGATATAGGGAGATAAAAAATGACCAGTGGAGCAATGTGTAGAAGACACATAATGTGAAACACAGTTTTAGCCTACAAGAGGAGCAGTGTGAGCGTCTTCCCAACTTTGGGGTTTAACTGCACGACCTAATCTTCTACTCTCCTAAACCAGATAGCTTCAACACTGTTAACAAGGTCCCCTTACTCTAACCCCATGCTCACATTCAAATTTTTACACTTCTTGAATCATAGAGGTCCTCGTGGTGTTATAATGCCCTTTAGGAAATATAGGTAGAGTGCATCTAAGTATCATGTGCCTTTATCCCTCATTTGAATCATCTTTTTTCTGACCCCTAAACTTCTGCAACAATTTCCTAGATCCCCTCACAGAACTGCCATTCTTTTTTTTTTTTTTTTATCTTTTATCCTCACCCGAGGACATTTTTCCATTTTTTGTTCAGGTAGAGTGGGAGGGAGAGAGAGGAACAGAGAGAGAGGGAGAAACATTGATGTGAAAGGAACACATCAAGTGGCTGCCACCCACACAACCGACCAGGGCCGGGGACAAATTGCAACCGAGGTATGCGCCCTTAGCGGGAACTGAACCCGGGTCTCTCAGGACCGCAGGCCGACGCTCTAACCGCTAAGCCAAACCGGCCAGGGCGAGAACTGCCATTCTTTAAAGTTCTATCCCTAACTCCCCATTTCCTCCAGGATCCCTTTTCCAGGATGTATTCTTACACACAGCAATGGCTCCCCACCAGGGTAGGCCCAGGTTAACATGCATAAATTCCAGTAGGTTCTGGATCATTCCCACTGGGGTATATGATCCCAGGCCCAGTTCAGTGAAGCTCTGTTCTGCAGCAGCTTGGACTACATCCGCAATCTTTTCAGAAGCCACCTCAGGTACTGCTGTGGGTGAGGGAGTTGCAGGAATGACCGGAGGGGCCTGAACCTGTGCAAAAGGAAGCCATGTGTAATATTCAGTATGTGGGACACAGAAATTGAGTCTCCTTATGATAACCAGTATTGGGTTGTTCTCTTGACTTTCTACTTCTCATTCTCTCAGCCTACATGTCAACAGAACTCCGCTTTTATTTATTATTATTATTTTTGTTAATCCTCACTGGAGAATATTTTTCCACTGATTTTTAGATAGAATGGAAGGGCAGAAGGGAGAAAGAGAGAGAGAGAGAAACATTGATGTGAGAGAGATACATCGATTAGTTGCTTCCTGCATGACCCTGACTGGGGCTGGGGAATCGAACCTGCAACCCAGGTAGGTGCCCTTAAGTGGGAATTGAACCATGACTCTTTGGTCTGTGGGCCAATGCTCTAATCACCAAAAATTGGCCAGGGCCAGAACCCAACTTTAAAAAATAACATTTTATTTTGTCCCCAACGTAGGAAAATAACTTATAGTAAGATTTCATGAAAGTTATTTTTTGTACCAATGTTTTCCAAACTTCAGACATTTAAGTATCATTGGCATGATTTTGCACATACTGAAAGTATTATACTCACAATTTTCCTTTAAAACAACTCAGTTTTTTAATTAAAAATTTTTTTTCTTTATTGATTTTTGAGAGGGAGAGGGAGAGAATATCGATTGGGATTGGCTGCCCCCTGCATGCTCCCCACCCTGGGCATGTGCCCCGACCTAGAATCCATCAGCAACCTCTTGGTGCATGGAGTCCATGCTCAACCACTGAGCCACACCAGCCCGTTTTTAAGGCCAAAATATTTACTAGGTCTCATCCTCAGAAATATTAATATCTGTGAAATCATGTAAATGATATGCAAGTTTCAATTTTTCTAATACACACACACCTGGAATCACATTTCATATCACCATTACCATTGCTATTAGTGGCTTGGCACCACTCTGGGAAACAATGGCACGTGTATAAAATAAATCTCTCCTGCTCTGCTCTCAATCATTACCTCAATTCCTCTGAAAACATCCCAAGCAGAGATGCTACCATTCTGGGGAACTGTGTGGAGTGTGGACAAGAATTCTCTTCCACATTCCACTCCCCCCCCCCCCCCCGTCAAAACAAAATAAAAACAAAAAATCAACCAAGAAGCACCACTCCTAATATCACAACCTAACATACAAGGGTAGAAACGCGTCTTACCTGGGCTTCTGCAAACGAAATGGCAGAGATACTGAAGCCACGGGGGCCAGGGACCGTGAGGAGCACATGGTGTGGGCACCGGCCGGCTGGGAACAGGACCCCCGCGGTCAGTGGTTTCCGGGGCCACTGTGAGGGCCCTGCGACGTTGTGGAGCTGCGCGCGGAAAAGGAGGAGAAAGTCCCTTTACCCGGGGCAGAAGCCGCGCATCGTGTCATTCCACCCCCCGCCCCTCGCCGTCCCCCGCAAGAAGCAGGCAGAGGGCTCCCACAGGTGAGCCAACTCCGCGCGCAGACGGCTGGCCCGAAGGCATGCTGACTCCTGCATCTCGCCTACTGCAGGCCCACCCCGGGACCCAGAAGTCGAGGCCGAGGTTCCCTTGCCAGAGGTAAAGCCTGCTGCCGGGTGCAGACAACGACACGGGGTAGAAGGTAACCCTTCCGCGTCCTCACGGGACCCGAGGTCAAGGGACACAGGTCCCGGTGAGCAAGCCAGCGTCCACTCTTGCCCCCAGCACGAGTTGCCCCTGGTTCAGGTCACAGGGACAGGGCAGCATGCCGCAACTCGGCCCTGGCGCATCCTTACCTGACGCTGCGGCCGTAGCAGGCGGAGAAGCTCCCGGCGCCCGCACATCAACACCACCGCCATTTTGACCGGAAGAGGGTTTTGTTTGCGCCTGCGCACTCAGAACCGGAGTCCCGCGGGAGGAGGCCCTTTTGGAAATGGGCATGAAGCCAGAGCGGTCGCCGCGTGGTCAAGGAGACTGGCGCTTGGCGGCCATATTTGAAGTGGGTAAGAAGACGCAAAGGGCTGCATTGACTAGGTCTCGCGGAGCGTGTTTTCAAGACACTGAAGTGAAGTGAAGAGCCACGTAAGGGGCCATAGACTGGGGAGTTTTCCTCCGTCTCTGAATCATGATTCCCCAGCGATATGTTGAGCCAAAAAATAGTTCAGGACAGTCTTGGCTGTGCCTGCTGTATGTTCTTTTCCTGCCGGATGATATTCATTCTTATTGCTAGATGGTATTGTAGTCGCAGATCCATTGAAATTTGAATGTAGTCTGGAGTCTGACAGAAATGGAGGAAAGCAGCTTCTAGGAAAAAATGACCTCCCAGATCAAAGACAAAGCTTCAAGAGAGACTCCATCGTTCCCTTTTCCCTTCCTTGGTGGGGTTGTGTGGGGAGCCTCTTGCGACTGCGAGGGGACAAGTCCAAAGATGAAACGCTAATGTGTCGAAGATGGTTGTATGGAAATATAGAAAAACCCTGAATACGTGAAGATGTCATCGAGCACCAAGCTTGGAACTGCCTAGCTCTGGACTTTGTTTTGTAAGATAATTAAAAGTCTTTACTGTCTGGACTCTTAAGTCTCTGTTGCTTGAGTGTTTTGTTTCTTGAAGCTGATAGCATTCCTTAAAGATGCATGAAGTTCCTTTCCTCCAAAGGAAAAATAAGTACAGCTTAGAAAGGTGAAAGTTGATTATATTTGAACCCGTACAAAGTCTTTCAACTACAAAATGCTTTTTGAATGACAAAGTAAAGATACAATCACTTGAAATGATTTCAATCACTGCTTTTTGGGATGGTTACAATATACCTGACAGAAATGATAAAATAGGAGGCAAAGAAATAGAATGTAGATTTAGTAATAATGAGGAGTACTAATCACGTGTAATGACCTATTAGTCACATATGTTGGATACTTCTGTAAACAAGCTTTTTTGATTACTTTATAGAATCGATACAGTTAGAGCTGATGACAAATACGCAGTTACAGGACATTTGGGTGAAAAAACTATTCTGTGGTAGAGAGTTACTTTGGTGGCCCCCAATAAACCATATCTCCCGGTATTTGCACCCTTATATAGCCTTGTCCAGCTACTACAGAAAATAGTATGGAGGGTCCTTTAAAAACTAGAAATAGAACTACCATATGATCCAGCAATTTCATGTCTGGAAATATGAAATTTCCTTTCTAAAAAGAAAATACTGTATTGATGAGCTATCTGCACCCCCATGTTCATAACAGCACTATCTACAATAATTAAGACGTGGAAACAACCTATGTATCTATCCATGGATGACTGGATAAAGAAAATGGGGTATACATATAAATGGAATACAATTCAGCCATAAAAAGATGGAAATCCTGCCATTTGTGACAACTTGGATGGACCTGGAGGGCATTATGCTAAGTGGAATAAGTCAGACAGAGAAAGATTTATATATGGACTATAAAAATAATTACCAAGGTCATAGAAAAAGAGATCAGATTTGTGATTATCACAAGCAGGGGTTGTGGGTAGGGGAATTGGATGAAGGTGATCAGAAGGTACAAACTTCTAATTATAGATAAGTATTGGGGATGTAATGAATACTATGATGACTATAGTTAACACTGCTGTTGGCATATTTGAAAGTTGTTAAGAGAGTAAATCCTAAGAGTTCTCATCACAAAGAAAAATAAAAATTTTTTGTATCTATATGAGATGATGGACATTAACTAAACCTGTTGTGATAATCATTTCATAATACATGTAAGTCAAGTCACTGTGCTGTACACCTTAAACTTATACAGTGTTATATGCCAATTTGTATAGATGTAGATGTGGACAAAACTAACTCCATCTCTGTGTCCTGGATTTATTTCATGCTGTGACCTTTAAGCAGCCTCACTGTCCTTAGCAAGCATATCAAAGCCTTCTAGTTGATGATTATCTGTGTTCCATAAAATGTAGTCATAAATATTTTTGTTAGTAATATCTGGAATGGCATGACAATGGAGATAAGTATCAAACTGATAATAATGATTATAAATAAGTATCACAAGACCACCAGGAGGTATGGCACCCGAAGAGTACTGCATTCTTTGTCCCATTATCTTGTCAGTAATTGGTACCTGAGTTATACTATAGAAAAGTACTGTAGCCCTGGCCGGTTTGGCCCCAGCAGTTGGAGTGTCAGCCCGAGGACCAAAGAGTCTCAGGTTCAATTTGGTCAAGGGCACGTACCTTGGTTACAGTTTGGTCTCTGGCCCTGGTCGGGTAGTGTGGGAGGCAGCCAATTGATGTGGCTCTCTCACATTGATGTTTCTCTCTCTCTCTCTCTCCCACTCTGAAAAATATTCTCCAGTGAGGATTAAAAAAAAAGCACTGTAATGGGGCTGGGTGAAAAAGGTGAAGGGATTAAGCAAAGAAAAAAATCTTCATAGACACAGACAACAGTATGGTGATTACCAGAGGGAAAGGAAGAATGGGGGAAGTAGAAGAGGGAAAAGAGGAGATAAAAGGAGATTTGATTTGGGGTGTTGAACACACAATACAATATACAGACAATGGTCTATAGAATTGAACACTTGAAACCTATATAATTTTATTAACTGATGTCAACCCAGTAAATTCAATAATATATATATTTTAAAGTATTGTAACAGGTCTGTTAGCAGAGAATAATTTGCGTAGAACTGTTGGGTCATCTGTCTGCTCTGACCCTACATCCCTGTAAGTAGATTACCCTTTAATACATTCTGTTACATTCTATGGAGTTGCCAGCATTGTTCTTCAGTCTGAAGATACCTTCTTATTATGGTGACCATTACACCTTTGCCCCACCACTGGACATAATTATTTTTCAATAAATCTGGGGAAAAGGTCTTGCCCTGGCTGGTTTGGCTCAGTGGTTGGAGTGTCGGCCTGTGGTCCAGAGAGACCTGGGTTCAGTTCCCGCTAGGGGCATGTACCTCAGTTGCAGTTTGTCCCCGGCCCTGGCTGAGCTGTGCGGGTGGCAGCCACTCGATGTGTCCCTTTCACATCAATGTTTTTCTCTCTCTTCCTTTCTCTCCCTCCTGCTCTATCTGAACAAAAAATGGAAGAATGTCTTTGGGTGAGGATTCAAAAAAAAAAAAAAAATCTGGAAAAAAGTTCTCAACACACACACACACATTGTGACAATGTGAGGTAGGTGATGGCTATGTTAAGTAACCTTAGTGTAGTAATTATTTTGCAATATATATGTACAGGGTGGGGCAAAAGTAGGTTTACAGTTTATATGGAAAATAATATAATAATACATAATACAAGAATAAACTGTTTTGCATACTCACAATTTTTGCCCCAACCTGTATATCAAATTATTACATTGTATACCTTAAACGTAATAGTTATTATATATGTCAATTATATCTCAACCAAGTTGGGGAAAAGTTCTGAGGAATATACAAAAACATTCTACTAGAACTAATGTGTAAATTTAGCAGGGTTGTAGGATACAAGGTCAATACACAAAAACCAACTGCATTTCTAAACACTAACAGTGAACAACTGGAAAATTAGAAATACCCATTTACAAGAGCATCGAAATCAAGAAACATTTAATAGTAAATTTTACAAAATATATGTGAGACTTACATACTGAAAGCTATAAAACATTACTGATAGAAAATTTAAAGGGCCTAATTAAATTGAAAGATGCACCATGTTCATGGATTGTAAGACTCAATATTGTTCAGATGTTATTTCTTCTAAAATTGATTTATAGCAGTTTCAATAAAAGTCCTGGCATTTTAATAGAAATTGGCAAGTAATAAATACATTTATATGAAAAATGTAAAGGACCTAGAATATTTTTGAAAAAGAAGAACAAAGTTGGAGGACTTAAAGTATCTGATTTCAAAATTTTTTATAATGCAACAATAATCAAGACAGTGTAGTACTGCCATAAGAATAGACACCAAATCAAGGGAACAGAAGAGTTTCCAGAAATAAGTCTACACAGAATCAATCAATTTATTTCAATAAAATTGCCAAGGGAGTGCAAAGGGAAAAGGAAAGTTTTTTCAACAAGTGGTGCTGGAATAACTGGATATCCCTATAGGCAAAACTTTTTTCTTTTTCTTTCTTTCTTTTTTTTTGTTACATGCTCCTAGCAGGAACTGAACCCGGGACTCTCTGCTCCGCAGGCCGATGCTCCAACCACTGAGCCAAACTGGCCAGGGCAGAAAATTTTCTTTTTAATTTTAAATATATGTTTTCATTGATTTTTTTAGAGAGAGAGGAAGGGAGAGAGAGATAGAAACATCAATGTGAGACAGAAACATCAATCAGCTGCCTCCTGTGTGCCCCCTACTGGGGATCGAGCTCGAAACCTGGGCATGTGCCCTGACTGGGAATCAAACTGGGACCTCTCAGTCCAAGGGATGATGCTCAATCCACTAAGCCACACTGGTTGGGCCCTATAGGAAAGGTTTAAACCCCAACCCTGGCCAGTGTGGCTCAGTTGGTTGAGTGTCATCCTGTGCACCAAGGGGTTGCTGATTCAATTCTTGGTCAGGTCACATGCCTGGGTTTCAGGCTTGATCTCTGTGAGGGACATGCAGGAGGCAGCTGATCAATGTTTCACTCACACAGATGTTTCTCTTTCTCCCTCACCAGAGGATATTTTTCCTTTGATTTTTTAGATAGAGTGGAAGGGAAGGAGGGAGAGGGAGAGAGGGAGAGAGAGAGACAGAGAGACAGACAGAGACATCTATGTGAGAGAGATCCCTAGCCCAGGTTGGGGTCATTGGCCAGAGATCAAACCCAAAACCCAGGTATGTGCCCTTGATCGGGAATCAAACCCGAGATCCTTCAGTCTACATGTAGACACTCTAACCACTGAG